GGAGGGTTATTAAGGCCTATCAACCTCTGGAGGGTTATTAAGACCTATCAGCAGAGCTTTTTTTTAACTAAGAGGTATATTACAGACTTGACCATAGGTCCATGAAGTAAATTCCTCTATAGTCTAGTTCATGTCCTGTACACCTGTCCACACCTGTCTAGGGACAGGTGTGGACTACACCTGTCGATACAGGTATCCCGTTCAGTTCAGACCCTTAAAATGATCATTACTAAGTTATCTAACTTCAAAATATTGACTTTTTTATAATTTCAAAACATTATCTAAATGTATATCTAAATTATCTAAATGAAATATCTAAAATTTCTTGTGTTTACAAAATTCGATTTAGCGTCAAAGTGTTTTTGAGAGAGAATGTTAGCGAGACATTTATTTAAACTCCTAATTTATTATGAATTTAGATTTTGAAGTAGACGCAGATGTATTTGAAGTTTGAAGGGTGATTAGTTAGTGAATTTGAAATTATTCTGTATTTGGGATTGTGTAACCAAATTCACTCTCTCCCTCTCTCTCTCTCTCTCTCTCTCTCTCTCTCTCTCTCTCTCTCTCTCTCTCTCTCTCTCTCTCTCTCTCTCTCTCTCTCTCTCTCTCTCTCTCTCTCTCTCTCTTTCCCCCACTCTTCCTGCCTGAGAAAATGGATAAAGAATGAAGATGAAATAAGAAATGAAGGTCTTAAGAAACTCCGGAGAGATGCCCCGTGAAGACGGGGGAACAGAGGCACAATGGTCCATGATTTTACCTGAATTTAGGAGCAGGGAGGGAGAAGGGTAGGGTAGAATAATGGGAAAGTGAGAGAGAGAGACAGAGAATCACACACACACACACACACACACACACACACACACACACACACACACACACACACACACACACACACACAACACACACACACACACGCACTACCGACTGTGGTGTCATTCCTGACCCACAAGTCATCAGTTGTATCTGTGTATAAATCTATGTGTGTATGTTTGAGTCTGTGTGTATGAGTATGTGTGTCAGTATATGAGTCTGTGCCTGTCTGTGAGTCTGTGAGTCAGCTGTGGCTATTATATAAAAAAAACTCCCAAAAAAGCCCCCCCCCCCAAACCCCCTCTCCCCAAAAAAATGGAAATGTACAAAACTCAAACCAAGATATTGAACAACACTCCCATAGTTACTCTCAGATCCCATCTGCACAAAAGCCAATTGCTACGGTTAATTTCCCCTATATATATATATATATATATATATATATATATATATATATATATATATATATATATATATATATATATTATTAAATATGACCGAAAAAGTAAGATTAATAATTCTAACACGAATTTTCTCAATCTTTCGTACATTTCTTTTCACTGTTGGAGGTAAATCAAAAATTTGATTTACCTCCAACAGTGAAAAGAAATGTACGAAAGATTGAGAAAATTCGTGTTAGAATTATTAATCTTACTTTTTCGGTCATATTTAATAATATATGTGTACAGGAAAGACTGCTACCAAAATATACTAATATATATATATATATATATATATATATATATATATATATATATATATATATATATATATATATATATATATATATATATATATATTCAGTGGCCACTAGAACCTCTTATCAAGTGTATTGATCTCTTTCAGGAAGGTGTAAGTGCTAAAGTAACTTAACTTAAAAGTTAATAATCGTATACGGAACAGCTTGAGTCAGGAGCCGACGTGGGGGCAGAGCCTTCGTGTGCTCGGTTGAGGGAATGAACGCTGATGGAATATGTCGCTTGTGTTGGCCTAAACGTAGAAATCTCAACATATCTTATAATATAATTAAATAATCTAGTCTTCATCCATCAAGTTTACAATGTAAATTGAAGAAAATAATTCTTTTCACTTAAAGAGATTGTAATCATACAATTGACTGGATTAATTCGTATAGAATTGTTGAGTGTAAATCTGTTTATGAAAGATTATTCCATCATTTCTATATATAAAAAAATCTTTAATTATACAGTATTAACATAATTATAGGTTTGAATAAGTTATATAATTTCACAAATCGAAAATATTTATAATAAGCCTAAAATTATGTAAAGAATGGATACATATATATGCAACTCCGAGAATTCCGGGAATTTCTTATTTTTATATTAATTTAACTTTTCTTAATCCACTCAGCTGTAGGGGGGGGGTATATATTATCTCTCACAAGTGTCTCATCCGTCTTACGTATTCTTAGAAAATGCTGAATCCCATTTAAAATAGTCACTCCATTTCTCAACGTAAATGGGGTTAACTATTCTATTTTTAATGTTTCACTCCGCACGGTCGACAATTATATTTTAATAAGAAACAGAGGCACAGAGATGGATGAATAGATAGTTGATTCAACAGATGGATGGATAAATAGATAGAAAGATGGATGGATAGGTGAATAAATACGTGGATGGATAGAAATGTGGAAAGTTGGATGGATAGTTAGAAATATAGATGGCTGGATAGATGGGGAAGATAGACGGATAGATAGCTGGACGGATATATAAATGGAGAGATAGATGAAAAATATATATATTTATATATTTTTTTAACGAAATCGGGGAAGAATTATTATGCACATCAACAAAAAAGATATTAATTTGAATCTCAGGTCAAAGGAAGATTGGTTTTGGTCCTCCATAGAAAACGGACTCACTGGACCAAGGACATACTAAAGAAAATCTACGTGAAAGTACAAAATAAATTATTATTAATGTCTTATCAACAAGATAAACAAATATCCAGGGCTACGGAATTTACATAATCTAAATAACCATCAAGCTAAAGCTATCAGATACTGATAGCAACTCTTAACTCACGGAAAGTTGGGAAATGAAGTTAAAATGTGTGTTCAGCATTTATTTCCTCTGCAGTGATGTGCAATATTGAAACTCAAATATGCAACTGAATTCACGAAAGGTGGAGAAGACATTAATAGCCTATTAACAAAAGCTACACTAATCAGGGATGCAAAACGTTTTACATTAACTTATTAACCAACAAAGTGTATGGGTGGACATGATCCCAACGTCCCCTATCAGTGGTATATCATTAGAGGGAAGGGATCCTAACATTTATCTTATTAGCAACTGACTTACAATATTGGAACGTAAATGCAGATGTAATTTGTACAGGCCAGTGCTATCGTAAAGAATATTGGGACCGATGGTTAATCAGGGCGGACTCAATCAAATTTCGCTCTACAAAACCCTTGCACTGCGCAACACCTTTTGCTCAGGGGCCAGATTCACGAAAGCACTTACGAACGTGGGCATCTTTTCTCAATCTTTGGCGGCTTTGTTTCCAATTATTAAACAGTTAATGAGCTCTAAAGCACCAGGAGGCTGTTTATAACAATAACAACAGTTGAATGGCAAGTTTTCATGCTTGTAAACTGTTTAATAAATATAACCAAAACCGTCAAAGATTGAAGAAAGATGTACACGTTCGTAAGTGCTGGCGTAAGTGCTTTCGTGAATCTGGCCCCAGGTTCGTAAATGCTGGCGTAACTGCTTTCGTGAATCTGGCCCCAGGTTCGTAAATGCTTGCGTAACTGCTTTCGTGAATCTGGCCCCAGGTTCGTAAATGCTTGCGTAACTGCTTTCGTGAATCTGGCCCCAGGTTCGTAAATGCTGGCGTAACTGCTTTCGTGAATCTGGCCCCAGATCAGTAGAACGATCACGTAAGTTGGACAATAAATACAATGCACTAGATTGCGGGGGCCATTCATATCGCATACGAATGTTGATATAAACACATATTCAAAGATTTACCAGTTTGTCCGTTGTACACAAATATACGATCCTTGCGAGGCATCGAATAATATACAGTCCTTGCGAGGCATCGAATAATATACAGTCCTTGCGAGGCATCGAATAATATACAGTCCTTGCGAGGCATCGAATAATATACAGTCCTTGCGAGGCATCGAATAATATACAATCCTTGCGAGGCATCGAATAATATACAATCCTTGCGAGGCATCGAATAATATACAATCCTTGCGAGGCATCGAATAATATACAATCCTTGCGAGGCATCGAATACACACAACTTACTGCTGACCGGGAGGCTGAGAGAGTCTTTATTAAAATGAACTTAATCGTATTGTTATTTTTGAACACCCGGATTAATATTAAAGTTCTTCAGAACTTGGGAAACTTTAACCAGTTCTTTAGAATAAGGAAACACAACAGAGTTTCTATGTTCCAGTTTAGCTTTGAAGATGCGATTGGAGAATGTAAAAGATTGTTGAAGAGTTTATGGTATTTTAACGTCTCCCCAATTTCATATATTTTAGCTAATAATAAAAATTACTGCAATCTCTGTATTTTTCTGCAATGTGTTCGAAAAATAAATATATGAGCACACATTAGTAGATTTCCTGTACACATTAAATTTGAAATTCCATTCCATTTGAAGAACACCAATCTCTCTATTCTCATTTGTGAATTTGATTGAAGGAACCAGCGAGTATATATATATATATATATATATATATATATATATATATATATATATATATATATATATATATATATATATATATATATATATATATATATATATATATTGGCTGTTGATTGCTGGTGTTGACTTCTTGATGTGTAGTGCCTCGCAAACGTCAAGCCGCCTGCTATCGCTGTATCTATCGATGATTTCTGTGTTGTTTACTAGGATTTACTAGGATTAGAAATCCTAGTAAACAACACAGAAATCATCGATAGATACAGCGATAGCAGGCGGCTTGACGTTTGCGAGGCACTACACATCAAGAAGTCAACACCAGCAATCAACAGCCAATTATTGCACAAATATATATATATATATATATATATATATATATATATATATATATATATATATATATATATATATATATATATATATATATATATATATATATATATCTATATGTTTCTGTTCTAACTGTGTGTGTCTCTCTCTGCCCACAACAGTGTGATAAATCAGACCTTGGCACAGCAAAACAGCACATACTACCAGTGCTGTTCAGGTTTCTGTATCGACATGTTACAGAAGTTCTCAGACGAGCTTGGCTTCTCCTACGATCTTTTTCGTGTCGAAGACGGCAAGTGGGGGACCCTTGAGGTAAGTGTATTGCTGTATTCTGCTGTATTACGTTGTATTATGATGCATTTTGTTGTATTATTATGTTTTGTATTGTGTTATGCTTTTTTGGTGTAGGTTGTATTCTATTTTAGTCTGCTGTATTATGTTGTATTCCGTTGTATTCTTCTGTATTCTGTATTATTCTGTTGTATTCTGTTATAATTCTTCTGTTTTGGCTGACCCTGCTGTATCCTGTATCACCCTGCTGTATCCTGTATCACCCTGCTGTGTCCTGTATCACCCTGCTGTGTCCTGTATCACCCTGCTGTGTCCTGTATCACCCTGCTGTATCCTGTATCACCCTGCTGTGTCCTGTATCACCCTGCTGTGTCCTGTATCATCCTGCTGTATCCTGTATCACCCTGCTGTGTCCTGTATCATCCTGCTGTATCCTGTATCATCCTGATGTGTCCTGTATCACCCTGCTGTATCCTGTATCACCCTGCTGTATCCTGTATCACCCTTCTGTATCCTGTATCACCCTTCTGTATCCTGTATCACCCTGCTGTGTCCTGTATCACCCTGCTGTGTCCTGTATCATCCTGCTGTGTCCTGTATCACCCTGCTGTATCCTGTATCATCCTGCTGTATCCTGTATCACCCTGCTGTATCCTGTATCACCCTGCTGTATCCTGTATCACCCTGCTGTGTCCTGTATCACCCTGCTGTATCCTGTATCACCCTGCTGTATCCTGTATCACCCTGCTGTGTCCTGTATCACCCTGCTGTATCCTGTATCATCCTGCTGTATCCTGTATCATCCTGCTGTATCCTGTATCATCCTGATGTGTCCTGTATCACCCTGCTGTATCCTGTATCACCCTGCTGTATCCTGTATCACCCTGCTGTATCCTGTATCATCCTGATGTGTCCTGTATCACCCTGCTGTGTCCTGTATCATCCTGCTGTATCCTGTATCACCCTGCTGTGTCCTGTATCACCCTGCTGTGTCCTGTATCACCCTGCTGTATCCTGTATCACCCTGCTGTGTCCTGTATCACCCTGCTGTATCCTGTATCATCCTGCTGTGTCCTGTATCACCCTGCTGTATCCTGTATCACCCTGCTGTGTCCTGTATCACCCTGCTGTGTCCTGTATCACCCTGCTGTATCCTGTATCACCCTGCTGTATCCTGTATCACCCTGCTGTATCCTGTATCATCCTGCTGTATCCTGTATCATCCTGATGTGTCCTGTATCACCCTGCTGTATCCTGTATCACCCTGCTGTATCCTGTATCACCCTGCTGTATCCTGTATCATCCTGATGTGTCCTGTATCACCCTGCTGTGTCCTGTATCATCCTGCTGTATCCTGTATCACCCTGCTGTGTCCTGTATCACCCTGCTGTGTCCTGTATCACCCTGCTGTATCCTGTATCACCCTGCTGTATCCTGTATCACCCTGCTGTATCCTGTATCATCCTGCTGTATCCTGTATCATCCTGATGTGTCCTGTATCACCCTGCTGTATCCTGTATCACCCTGCTGTGTCCTGTATCACCCTGCTGTGTCCTGTATCATCCTGCTGTATCCTGTATCACCCTGCTGTGTCCTGTATCATCCTGCTGTGTCCTGTATCACCCTGCTGTGTCCTGTATCATCCTGCTGTGTCCTGTATCACCCTGCTGTGTCGTGTATCACCCTGTTGTGTCCTGTATCATCCTGCTGTGTCCTGTATCACCCTGCTGTGTCCTGTATCATCCTGCTGTGTCCTGTATCACCCTGCTGTATCCTGTATCACCCTGCTGTGTCCTGTATCACCCTGCTGTATCCTGTATCATCCTGCTATGTCCTGTATCACCCTGCTGTATCCTGTATCACCCTGCTGTGTCCTGTATCATCCTGCTGTGTCCTGTATCACCCTGCTGTGTCCTGTATCACCCTGCTGTGTCCTGTATCATCCTGCTGTGTCCTGTATCACCCTGCTGTATCCTGTATCACCCTGCTGTGTCCTGTATCACCCCGCTGTATCCTGTATCATCCTGCTATGTCCTGTATCACCCTGCTGTATCCTGTATCACCCTGCTGTGTCCTGTATCATCCTGCTGTGTCCTGTATCACCCTGCTGTGTCCTGTATCACCCTGTTGTGTCCTGTATCATCCTGCTGTGTCCTGTATCACCCTGCTGTATCCTGTATCACCCTGCTGTATCCTGTATCATCCTGCTGTGTCCTGTATCATCCTGCTGTGTCCTGTATCACCCTGCTGTGTCCTGTATCATCCTGCTGTGTCCTTATCACCCTGCTGTGTCCTGTATCACCCTGCTGTGTCCTGTATCACCCTGCTGTATCCTGTATCATCCTGCTGTGTCCTGTATCACCCTGCTGTGTCCTGTATCACCCTGCTGTATCCTGTATCACCCTGCTGTGTCCTGTATCACCCTGCTGTATCCTGTATCACCCTGCTGTGTCCTGTATCACCCTGCTGTGTCCTGTATCACCCTGCTGTATCCTGTATCACCCTGCTGTATCCTGATATATTGACACACACTCCTGTATTGTGTATGATTTCTGTATTCCTCCACAGTTCCTTGTATCCTACTAATATTCCTGTGTATACTTCCTGTATCAACTCACATCAGTATGTAGCCAGCTGTAACCGACTGTATTTGGCTGTATTATGAATTACTGTTCATTAATAATGTATCCTGTGTTGTTCTATATTCCTGCTGTATCCCTGTTCTATCATACTGTATTTCTGTTGTATCCTGCTTTATCATATTGTATTCATGATGTATCAATACATTCCTGCTGTATCTTTATTTACTTCAATGTTTTTGAGAATTCTTTATTCTACTGTAGTATACTGTATCCTACTGTAGTATTTATTATCCTACTGTAGTTTTCTTTATCATACCGTACAACAATAGTTTATCCTATCATAGTATTCATTGTTCCATCGTTTTATGCTGTATAATTCTTAATGCTACTGTATTTTGCTGTATCATACTTTGACGGTTTTATGTTGCTTAATAATGCTGTATCAGGCTCTTGTATTATGTTAGGTTTGCGGTTTCATTATGTATCCTGAATTATCTTGCTGTATTCTGTTAATTTTGAATCTTGTTGTATTCTGTTTATTTTGAATCTTGCTGTATTCTGTTGTTTTTCTGTTTCATTACTCTGTCGTGATTCGTCTTCTTGTATTATAATGCATTCTGTTGTATTTTATAAAATCATGGTGTATATTGCTGTATTATGATGTATCCTGCTTAATCGGTCCGAATTATATTACTCTATATTATATTACTGTATTGTATTCTGTTGTATTTAGATGTATCTTCCAGTATGGTACGATGCATCGCTGTATTCTATCCTTTGAAAGCATTGTTGTATCCTAACTGATAACTTATGTTGTATCCTGTATTTTGTTGCCCCCTGCTGTATTTTAACGGCCTAATCTATCCTAACTAAACATAATTTACCCTAATCGCACCTAATCTATTCTGACTGAACCTAATCTATCCTAACTGCACCTAATCTTTGCTAACTAAACATAATCTACCCTAATCATACCTAATCTATCCTGACAGGACCTAATCTATCCTTACTGCACCAAATCTTTGCTAACTAATCCTAATCAATCTTATCTAGATTTAATCTATCCTAATTGAACCTAATTTATCCTATCTGAACCTAATATTTCCTAGCTGGGCCCAATACAAACTAATTTAACCTAACTTAAAGAGAGAGAGGTACAAGGGTACATGATACAGACATACAAAATACTTAGAGGGATTGACAGGGTGGAAACAGAGGAAATGTTTACAATGAATATCAACAGAACAATGGGGCCCGGATGGATGCTTGAGACTCAGATGTGTCATAGAGATGTTAGGAAGTTTTCCTTTAGTGTGAGGTTAGTGTGAGGGTAGTGGGAAAATGGAAGGACCTAAAGGAGCAGGTTGTACAGGCTGACTCAATTCATAAAGATGGTGTGATAGGGGAAAAGGCCAGGAGTCACTGTATTAGACAATTAACGGCTGTAAAAGCAGGGGTCCATAAGCTAAAGTTCGATCCTGCAGGCACAAATAGGTAAGTACACACACACACACACACACACACACACACACACACACACACACACACACACACACACACACACACACAAACACACACACACACACACACACACACACACACACATATATACATCTAGCAGTAACTAGGTATACGGGAGCTAGAGAGCTGTTTTGGGTTGCACCCTGCCAGTGTGTGTGTGAGATATGAGGTGGAAATTATCATACTAGAAAATGGAAGCGGCTCCGCGAAAGTGAGACACTGTCCCGTTTTCTGTTTTCGGTCCTCTGGATAGTTAGGATAAAGGGGGCATCTTAGTACGACGGTTTCTTGATGTTTGGGAACTTTAGAAAGACAAGCTGCTCAGGATTCATACCACAACAGTTCCCTAACTTGCGGACACCTATTTACTACCACTAGAACGAACAGGAACATCAGGTGAAATGAAACTATGTGATCCTCGAGTGTGAGTCGAGTACGTAGACTACTCTGCTAAACGACCCCCCCCCCTCCCCTTGTAATTATAAACAACATTTAAAACAAATTACACAAAATGAACCATCCCGAGTACCTGGTTCAAACGAACTGTGATGATATGCAGGAAGATACGACCAAACTCACTCGAGGGCCTCGCAACAAAATCAACATACGTTGCAGGAGGGGGGGGGCTGGGGGGGCGGTGTTGAGTGATTGAAGAGTGTTGCAGGAAGGAAGGGGGGGGGGAAGGTGATTTAAATGAGTTGCAGAGGCGGTTAAAGTTACGAGAAAAGTTGCAAGAGGGCGTTAAGTGATTGAGGAGACTTGCACGGCCGACTGTCATCAACTGGAACACACTTTTGGTGGTGTTGGGGGAGTTTCTCCCAGAATGACGATACGCGCAGTTTGGTGCAGGCGAATGGGGCTCTCTTGTGAGCCCTGGAGGCTCTATTCTGAGCCCTGGGGCTCTCTTGTGAGCCCTCG